GTAATGGGAAACTGTCAGGGGAGGGCGGGTGGGATTGGCAGTTGAGGGAAACTGTTAGGGGAGGGAGGGGCATACCACATCAACATAGGTAATTGCATAATCAACGTTTGTAGACCTAACCCTGAATTGTACCCCACATCTTTATGATTAAAAAATATATATATTGGCAGATCCTGGGGACATGGTCCCTCAGAACCTAGGCATCTTGGGGGGGACATTGTTCTCCCTACTCCCCAGGGTTGGCTTTGGGCAGTATTTTCCTCCAGTTTCTCCTGAATGGAGAGCAGAAACAAACTCAGTGAAGCGACTTTCCTGAGCTCACAGTGCTGGATGGGGTCCAAGTCAATCCTGAGCTCTGGGCAACCAAAATGAAGTGTCTACTGGCTTGCGGCTCACCAGGCCAGCCTCAGCGTGCTCCTCTCTGGAATGAGGGCAAGGACACCTGCTTACCGGCCTCTTCCTCCCAACCCAGTGCCTGACCCATGCTGAGTGCTAAGAGCTGCATCTTTTGTCGTTGTTGTTGCTGTTTCACGCTCTCTCTTCCTACCAGGATGTGGTGAGCAACCCGTTTTCCGGAGAAGAACGCAATATTCCAGAATCATAGGGGGCACGGAGGCTGGGGTGGGTGAGTTTCCATGGCAGGTGAGTATTCAGGCAAGCAATGAACATTTCTGCGGCGGCGCGATTCTCAACAAGTGGTGGATTCTCACAGCTGCTCACTGCTTATACCAGGAGGAACTGTCGTAAGTACCAAGAGACCAGCCCTGCTGCCTCTCGCAGCCTGGCCATCCCTGGGGCACCCTCCCCCTCAGCCAGACCTGATTGCTGAGAGGCATTCTAGGGCTGTTCTGTCTCCAGTCAGACTTGAATGTTCCCACCCTCCAGCCCCGAAGACACAGGGGCAGCCAGCCTGAGCCAATGCCCTTCTTGAGTCTCCCAGGGCCAATGACTGTGGCTCCCCCGAAGTCACACCCTGTCTTCTCCGGGAACACCGTGGCTGATGGAGCCGAAGGGGTTGGTCCATTCACATCCAGGACATTCAAGTCCTTCTAATTCTGGAAGTCTGGTTCCCTGGGCCGTCTGACCTCCCACTCAGACTCTCAATTCAGAGACCCAGGAACAAAAGGTTCTTCAGGAATAAGTCAATGTCCAGGTCCCCCAGTCCTTAAGTATCCCATGACAGCAGTGCCACAAGTCTCCTTGGTTAGGCACGATGAAACTTTCCCTGAGTTTTTTATGAACCCTGTCAGCCCCAGTCAGACCTAAAGGTCCTAGAACTATATCAGATTTAGTTATTTTCAGGCACAACCAATTCTGCACACTTGTGTGACCTCCCCTCCACGTTCCCACTTCTGTGCCACCAGCCCAGACGATCTAAATGTCGTGGTGGGGACCAACGACTTAACCAGCGAACCCATGGAAATAAAGGAGGTCAGCAAAATAATTTTCCACAAGGCATTCAAGAGGGCCAACATGGACAATGACATCGCCTTGCTGCTGTTGGCCTCACCCATCGTGCTCAATGACCTGGCGGTGCCCATCTGCATGCCCACGAAGCCCGGCCCCTCCACGTGGCACGAATGCTGGGTGGCAGGGTGGGGCCAGACCAATGCTGGTACGTGACTGCTCAGCATCCTCTGAGAGCTGCCGGGGTGGGAGCCACTAAGGCTGAGGGAGTGGGAAGGGCTAGAGGGAGAGAGTGAGAGTTGAGGGAGGGAGGAGAAAAGGTCTTGGCTCGAACAGACCCTGCACCACAGAGGCTCCCAGGGGCCCAACCTCAGCCTCTTCTGAGGGCTGAGGGCTTGAACTGAGAAGCCAGAATCGAGCCAGGCCGCGGGTGTGGTCTCATGCAGCCAGAACAAAGCAGTCCTGTTTGTGCCTTTAATCGAGTTTGAACTCTCCAGTGAGCCAGAGGCCCCTGGAGTCTTTATTCTCAAACTTCTTCCCTGATTCACACGTTGACGTTTCCCATCTGGTTCCCACTGGCCTTGGAGATGTCCGCCCTGGGCTGGGCTTTGACGGCTCTGGAGTGTTGCCCGGCCATTCGTAGAAGTGAATCTGTTGTCACTTGTCATTATGCTGTAACTTGGCCAAAACAGGAGAAAGTGTACTGGGGAAGAAAGGTATGATGAAAGGCTCACTGGACTGTCCCCAAAGAAAACCCAACCAAACCCAAAGCAAATAGGTAGGGGTGTGGGTGGGAACACACGGTATTGCATCAGGTTTGAACAAGACTCTGAATTCGTAGGGATGATTTTCAGCGAGCCTGGGCCTGGGAGATTGTAGGTGTTTCAGGAGCTTAATAACCAGAGAGAAACCAGTGGGTTGTTGGTTCTGGGCTCCGGGCACTCCTGGAAAAGTAGAAGTGGAGGAGGAGGCAGATGGGCACATACAAGATTAAAAATCCTCAACTAGGAGAAGAAATACAAAATCTCTGTGTAGTCAGAGTTAATGAGATGGAGAGAAGGTCAGGTGAGTTCCTGGCCCTGCCATCCCAGAAAGGGCCTCCGTAAATCCCCTCTCATCCTTTCTAAAGTCTCAGCCAATCCGCCCTTGCTGGAGGACCTAAAGTGGTTTCACTGGGCATGCAAACCCACTTTCACTGGCCCTGTTGAAGGAAATGTCATGATCACATAGTGAAAAGTAGCATTAAGTGAATATATTGACAAGGCAAGATTATGCTGAGACACGGTCAAAAGCAGTTCCAAAGGGAAATCAAGCCCGGAGGGCTGGCTGGAGTCAAGCTGGAAGTCTTGGGAGTAGAAAAGTGTTTTTGAATGAGGAATGATTCCAGGAGGTGGGGAGTCATCTGGGAGAGTGGGTAAACTTCAGGTGTGGAGTGACCTGGAGGAGGAGAGGGGCTGTGGGGCGTGTTCAGGCAGGAGGATGAGGGCTGGGAGACACAGGGATGTGCAGGGGAGTTGAAGTCGGTTGCGCCATCAGCACAGGGACCTGCGCCCGGTGACTTCTCTAATGTGCTTGCTTTCTGGGCCAGCGGACAAAACCTCTCTGAAAAGTGATCTGATGAAAGTGCCCATAGTCATCATGGACTGGGAGGAATGCTCAGCGGTGTTTCCAAAACTTACCAAAAACATGCTGTGCGCTGGATACAAGAACGAGAGCTATGATGCCTGCCAGGTAAATTGGAGATACCCCTTCCCTCACCCCACAGGCCCTCACCTCCTCAGGGCTGCCAATGCCAGGGTATCCTCTCTCTGCTGAGACAATTACGGGTCTGGAGAATACTTGGGAATCTGGGCTTTCAGCCATGGGAATAGGGGTGTGGGTTGCAGAGCTTTGGGACAATCATTATGTGAACAGCACCCTCGGAGGCATCAGTGCTTGCCTGGGAATCAGTGTATCTCAACCCTGTCTATTTGTTTCTGATCTTCTTCAGGTACACTAGGCATGAGGGAAGGACCCTCCTGAAAACATGGGCTTTATTTATTAAAAATTGTCTATTTATTCTTAAATGTTTAAACTTCAGTCACCTTCAAAATACTCTCTGTTTGATGCAATACACCTATCGAGGTGCTTTTCCACTGCTCAAAACAGTTTTTGAACCTGTCAGTTTTGATGCCTTTAGGTGCGTCTGCCATGTTTTGTTTCACTTCTTGCACATCAGCAAAATGTTTCCCTTTAAGGACATTTTTCATCTGGGGAAACAAACAAACAAAAAAGTTTGCTCAGGGCTGAGATGAGAGGAATAGGAAGGGTGGGGCATGGAGGTTGTGCTGGTTTTGGTCAAAAGCTGCTGAATACTCAGCACAGTGGGCAGGTAGTTATCATGGTGGAAGAACCAGTCTCCTGTTTGCCACAGCTCGGGGTGTTTCTTCCTCAACGCAGCCTGTCACAACAATGCTAGTCCTATTTACAAGGGAGGACCCCTCCAAAAATGCCAGAATTATCTTTTTGAGAGTGGGATCCTTGTAGCACAGGCTTCCCCTACTAGGTAAGTATTCTAGGAACCCATTGCCATTGCTTGAACATGGATTGGAAGCAATGGAGGGAGATGAGAAAGAAAATGCACTCGAAGTAAGAAGAAGTGGACCCCAGCAGCATGGCCTTGGGTCCTAAGAGTCCATCGTGTGGTGAGTACTGCAAGGGCCAAAAAGAGAGACATGTGAACCTTGTGTTTTGAATTTCTTTACATTCTGGACAACTTAAAACAATAGTTTATACAAGAAAAGACAAAGCAGAGAATTGAGACTGCTGGTTCCAGACAAGATGGAGCAGATATATTTCTCTCAATCCTTTCCGCTAAATACAACTGAAACCATTTGTCATTATCTTGTAAAATGAAAACAAAATGACTGAAAGGTGGAGAGATCCTGGATGCTAATGAAGCTTGCTACTCAGAAATGCCAATGGGCACAGACAAAAACTAACAACAATAACAACCACACACACCCCCAAACAGAAAAAGTCCTCTCTTTCTTGCCAAAGGACTAGA